CCTGCTACTGGCGGCCGTGCCGGAAACATCGGGCGGTGGGGCGGCCACATGTGGCCATGGGGCGCGTACCTCGAAGATGGCCCATGACCTCCACACCTCGACGCCTCTACGGCTCTAGGAGCGCCCGCAATCCTTTCACCCCAAGCCCGAAACCCCATACCCTGCCACCCCCCACATCCTTTGTCACGGAACCTGGGGGGGCCCTGGCCCCGCAAAAACAACTCCGGGAGACCCTGGACCTCGCCAGGGCTAAAACCAACTCGCCCTCTGCTAATCCCGTGCTCGAAAGCCTGCAAACCCTGTAATCCCTGCAACCCTCTAAGCCCTGTAAAGCCTATAATAAACCCTCGTCCTTCTGATCCTAGACCCGGAACCACAAACCCCACCTGCAGGGTTGAGTTTTTGGGCTCAGAGGTTCAAGGCTTCGGGGTGGGTTCGGGGGCTCGGGATGCAGGGCTCAGCCATTGCAAGACGAAGGATTTTGAAGGTTTCAGCTTTGAAGGGCCTGTGGGCTTCGGCTTGTAGCCCCGGAACGGCTCTCAAACCACGGCACTTATTGCACTTGCGCTACAAATCGACACAAACCCATTTTGAACACGAGATCTTGACCACCCGCCTCCTAGAGCAACGCCCTCTCCCCCTTCTTCCTGCAGGTTAGGCTGCCCTGGCCACTCCATGGGCGGACCTGTGCGCCAATCCTGGCTGGCTTGCCGCGGCTCAAGATGTTTCAAAGTGTTACAAAGCTGAAGGGGCGTTTTGGGGTTTGTTTAGGGATACAATTCAAGGTTTGGGGACTTTCCAGGTGCAGCTCCACGACGATACCTGCTGGGGCTCTAAGGACTCTAGGGACTGTAGGGACTGTACTATAGGGACTAGGGGGCTATAGGGGCTCGAGGCGCTATAAGGGGCTGTAGGGGCCATAGAGGCTTAGGGATTTAGTCTCCAAGCTATCCAAGGCCCCTCAACGAATCGCTGTGCAAAAAGCCTTCCAAGCCTCAACTCTGAAGAAGACCCGGCAAGGAAGCCACCCTCAACCCCGAACCCACAAGCCTGTCACGACCCTCAACACCTAACCCTCGAACCTCTGCAAAAACACATGCCCTAAACCCAGAAACCCTCACAAAAAACGGAGATCCTTGAGGGCCCCAACCCTTGAACCTATGAACCCCCAAAGGCCCTGAACTTCAAGCCCCATGCTGGGCTCCAGCAGGAACGCTACACAAACCCTCTGGTGCATTTGATGAAGGGAACTACCTGGAGGGTGGCCAGGGGAGCGCCCCCAACCCCCCCCCGATTGAGGTTTCTGCGGGTGTAAGGGCAACATCCTCACTGCGGGAGGGGCTGTAGGGGAGTCCCTTGGTCCATCCAGGTATGGTCCAAAGCAGAATGCAGCATAAGGCCCGCGTTCGAAGTCCACAGGGCCACAGTCACTGGGATCCACAAGAAGGGCACAAGGAGTCTACGCACAAAAAACGTGACTGGCCCCAGATGGACTCCAGCGCAAATAACGCGGATGGGCTTCGTGGAATGTTGACCACCGGCGCTCGGCCGCGCCGCTGCAAGTGGCCAATTACGCCGAAGGGGGCCTAAACCAGTGGGACACGGTCCATCACTGTCGGGGCGAGGCTCCAGACATGCCCGGAAGGGCCCCAATTTTGGTTGGGCGTGAGGTCCTTGGCCCTTCTTTGGGGCACCGACCACCCCACAAAGAGCGCGCGCATCATGAGCATCCGTGGTTCGGGCCCAGGGCCTCGGAAGCGTTTGGCTCCGCAGATGCAGAAGATGCGGATACCCTAAGGCCACGGGCTGCCAGTATGATGGCGCCTGCATACAGTCGGTGTTTGGTTGCTGGTTCGTTTCATGGTGGCTTCGCTTTTGTTCTATGCTCTCCTCTTTCCTTCGCTTTGTTACAAACGTGTGCGCACGACGACGCATCGCAGATATTTTTTGCGCTGGTTGCGTCTGTGGTCGTGGTTGTGTTTGTGGCTGTTCTGTTTGTGGTAGTTCTCCAAATGGGTTTGTTCTGGGCTCTTCGTTTAACGGTGGCGTACTAGACCTAAACCCTAAAACACCCTGAACCCGCAACACTTATAAAACCTAAACCCTCAACCCTAGACCCTTAAACTTGCAACCCTTAAACCCTAAACCCTCAAACCCCTAACTCCTGAAGCCCCTAAACCCCAAACCCTACCCGTTGAAGGGGGCGCCTGCGGCGGCGGCGCCCGGCCGGGGGAGCGCCGGCGCCGGGAGCGGCTCCGCGACCGGCGCCTGAGGAGGCTTGAGAAGCTTGGGCTTTGGGGGGGGGTTTCGGGTCTAGGGTTTAGGGCTTAGGCTTTGGGGGTTGGGGTTTGGGGTTTGGGGTTTGGGGTTTGGGGTTTGGGGTTTGGGGTTTGGGGTTTGGGGCTTGGGGTTTGGGGTTTGGGGTTTGGGGTTTGGGGTTTGGGGTTTGGGGTTTGGGGTTTGGGGTTTGGGGTTTGGGGTTTGGGGTTTGGGGGGTTGGGGGGGTTTGTAGGGCTTAGGGGGTCCCCTTCTTTATGGTTGTAGGGCTATACTGCTGCAACGGGCCGAGAAGGGTCTTCAGAATGCGTACGGCTTTTCGGGCTTGTGGCCGCGGGAATGAGAATTCATGTGGTTCCGTCCCTTGATCAAGAATCATGGAGGAAGAAACGGTGGAGCGATGACGGTGTGGGAGGCCTACCTCCGAAATGAAGAGCATAAGTCAAGGCTGGCTGGAGGGTTGGCTTTGGGGGTTTAGGGGTCTTAGGCTGGGTTTGAGTGATCTGATTTAAAGTTCCAAGGCTCGGGTTTGTTTAGGTACTAGTAGGCGGAGGAAGACTACGTCTCATCTCGATGTCCTGCCAACAGACGCGGGACAACTTCCCCGCCTTCTGTCGCCATCCGAGTCACGATGACGCCTGCGCCTGTCGAATGCGAGCCGCTGCAACGCAACACCGCGACGGAGCCCTGAAATGAACTCGAACCCTCAAGCAAAATCGACGAGCCCATGAAGACACCCTGCGTGTGCAGATGTCATGCCCTGCTATCCTTGACACAGACACACACGCAAACACGCAGGAAGCATGTTGCTCCATGTTGCTCCCGCTCTTCATCGGCTCTGCCGAATCGGCGGGGCGGCTTTGCGCTGCATGCTCCGTCGATGAATCGGACAATGGCTAGGTTGGTGCGAAGGGCAGGACTCAGAATCTGTGCAAGAACCTGCAGTCCCAATCGCAACCCCGATGCTTCCTCTCGACGTTGCAACCCCAACCCAAAAACTCCAGGCCTTAGGGCCTTAAGCCTTCCCAGCAGCCTCCCATCCTGTCGTTCCCGGCCGGGTGCCGGGACCAGCGTCAGTGCGCCCTCCATGGTCGTCTCAAAGCCAGCGGCCAGGCTAAGAACCAGCTCTGGGCGTGGGTTTCTGGATTCGCTGGATTCCAGCTTCTTTGTCTTGTGGGCTGTGGACAAGATGGGGTAGAGCCAGTACTGTTGGGCTTGGGGAGAGCTCAAGCTGAATGCGGAGGGCTGCCAAGCTCTTCTGAACCATCACCGAAACCTCATCATACCAACCATTCCTACAAGGAGACACCAGCAGTCACGCTCTTAGAGCCATGTCCTCAGCTGCAAACCCTGACCCACATCCAAAAAGACTGCCTGGGATCCCCCTATGCTGCCAGGAAGACCAAACACCTCTTCATCCTTGAGCACGCCAGCGGCGGAGGGATAGCTGCTGATGAAGCTCAGACTGGGAGCTGGGGTGCAACAGCCAGGCAAAACCATTTGAAGGTTTACGAACATACGGGGGACCCTAGTATAGTCCCCAAATCGTAGAATTCCCTGCTGAGAAGGACCCCAACAAGGTACCCCTAATTTCGGAAACCCCCATTTTTTCTGGGAGCTTTACGTTCTGGACGCCTTCAAGGTTTGAGAAGTGGGGACTGGAGGGTGCTCAAGCGGGTTTGGGTTGCGCGCCAAGAACATTTTAGTCGGCATTGCGATGACATTCAAGACCATCCTGCACCTCCCAGTGTTCAAGTGGTCCGTACGGTTTGGCTTCTACGCTCAGTGGGCAGTGGCCCCACTCACGCTAGACTAGGGCGACCATACCCGAACATGAAGGAAGAGTAGCACCCTAAACCCCTAAACCCTAAACCCTAAAGCCCGAAACCCTAAACTCGCAACCGGGGGCAAACACTGGGCAAACACGCTGGACTTTTTGCTGCCAGAGCCGGGGCAGCTGTCCTCCAGCGAGAAGGAAACCTGAGAACGCATCTTGGGCTAACGGCTAAGTGATCCTATATGGGGCGCATTGGGGCGCGTTATGGGAAGAATTTTGGTGATTATCTGGGCTCCTGATGGCTCCTATGGTAAGGTCTAGGGAGGTGGTTGTACAGTCCAGGGCTGAGTACGGGGTTCACGGCCTTTGCCCGTGCGAAGCTTGGTGCGCCCGAGCTTGACGGTGCATTGCGTGTGTGCGGGGGGGGGGCGGGGGGAGGGGGGCCTAGGCTGTGGGGTCACCTAAAAGGAACCGTGCTGCATTGCGGCGTGTTGAAGTTCTGCGGGCAAGTTGGGCTGATGACAAAGCAGCGCCTTGGCATCTCTACCGGCTTCCGACGCTACCGGCGTTCACCCGTTTGGCAGTGCAGGTCCTCCCCTCCCTTCCGCCCAACTCCCACATGCGTACCAGTCTTGTTTCCCCACGCCGCGGGCTGGCGACACGTCGCCGCGTCGCCTGCGTCCACTTCCTACAATTGCGTCTCGGCGCTGTGCGTTGCACAGTGCTTCGTGAGCCTCTCAAGACGAGCCTCAGAACCATCGACTGAAGTTTCCTCAATCTCGAGAAGCAGTCACCCAGAATCGAGGGGGGATGCGCCCCTTTGGGGCGCATCAAATGACCTCGACCCTTCTAGGCCTCTAGGAGAGTTAGAACATCAACTCCACAAGGAAAACTTTAAAAGATTTGGACAGTCAGATGCAGCAGCCTTGCACTCTCTGCACACTCTTCATGCCAAGGGCACAACGTACTCGGAACGCACCACGTAGGTCGAAGACACCAGAATGCGGGAGCCGTGGGGTTCGAGGTCAACCGACATCCCGTACAGGTCCTTCATCTGCTTGCAGAGGTTGTCGAAAGACTCGGGAGAAACCTGGTGGCAGTCCTTGTCCACATGCCAAGTGATGACGTATGGAGAGCAGACTGAGTTGTCGTGCGACTGGCCGGTGGTTGACCTAGGATCGGGCGTGAAGTCGAACACAGGGATCTATAACGTGGGTCCGACTCGCGCTCAAAGAACTGAAGGTCAGGATTAGATTTTGGGTTCAGGGTTTCGTGCTCAAGGTTTGGCATTTCCGGAGTTCAGAGCTCACAGCTTAAGGTATAGGAGGCTCGTGTAAGGTCTATAATAATTGGGGCGTGAGCCTCAAAAGCCTTAAGAAAAGAACGGTGCCTCTTGCAAACCACGTGACCCTGAGTACATGACTGAGTTTGCGTGGCCAACGACAGTCCAACCATGCAGCAGGTCGTTCACCGTAGGGCCCCCGTTCACGATCTGATAGATCTGGCCCTGCACCACGACCATAGGGTTCAGAAGGCCACGGCCATTCGCGGCACCTACATGAACAAGAGCTCAGATGCTTACAAAACAGTACATAACAAACACTCCAATTCTCAAGAGCTCGAAAAAGCAGCGCCTCACTTAAGCAGCGGGACTCTCAGACAGACAGACAGACAGACAGACAGACAGACAGACAGACAGACAGACAGACAGACACAGACAGACAGACAGACAGACAGACAGACAGACAGACAGACAGACAGACAGACAGACACACACACACACACACACACACACACACAGAGCCGCATTTGCGCACGCGTTGACTCACCCACGCTGACGGTGAATGTATGACAAGCAGATCAGGGCGGTTGGCTGCATGATGCTGCATGCTCACGTGCCTCCCAAACCATCAGCGAGGAGGTCCGCGTTCATGTCGTCCGTAGCATTGTTGTCGGTGCCGGCTGACGAGTGCACGTAGTGGACCTCGTACGACTTGCCGACTTGCACGTCGCCCTTGCAGTGCTGAAAGGTGTACGGCGTCATCTGCGCGTCCGTGAGCGTGTCCGTGGGGCACATGAAGCCAGGCCGCGGGTTGCTAGCCAGGCGCCTGCCGGAGGACGCCGCGTCGTATGCCATCGCGTCGGTGTCGTTGTTGTAGGCATCGCTCTTATGCTCAGCCCCCAAGTGGAAGTGCACGTTCACCAGCGGCAGGAAGTTTGCCTGAGCATCCGTCAGCGTGGCCGCCTTCGGCACCATGCTGCCCGTTGCACCAGTTGAGAGATCGCGAGGCGTCTGAGGCTCGGCCGTGCTGCAAGCGGGCTTGTTGAAGTTGTACGGACAGGCTGGCGTGCCCGGCACAGGGTTGCTCAACACCGTGGTGGGGGAGCCACAGCACTGCTCACTCTTGTAGAAGTCCTTCAACTCGCCGCAGGTGACGGCCTCCGCCCCGACAGCCAGCGCTAGCGCCAACGCCAAGCCTGTGGCAACCTTGGGACGGGCCGAGGCGAGGGGCAGCAGCAGCGCCATCCACGGCGAGCTGCGGAATCCGGAGCCCGTCTCTTCGCCGGTTGTCTCGCAAAGGTCCACCTCCGGATCGTCAGGGCACGTGGCGATCGCGACTTTGGCGAGGCAGGCGGTCACCGCAAGCAAGCGCAACATGGTTGGGGGATGAAGGTCTGTGTCTCGTCACAAGTCTCAACAGTGCAAAATCTTGCTCTGACTGGCAAATGCTCACCAAGCAGAAATCTTAAGATAGTCAGGTTTAACATCTGCGGGCTTCATGGTCAAGATATTCTTGGTGTTGAGACGGGTTCAGGGCTTGCAGTTTTATGCATAGGGATCAGAAGCAGACATTCTGTTCATCTATCTGTTCGGGCCGTCCACGGATCCGAGAATCCGAGACGTCTGCAGACCCACTGACACCCTGAAGATTTTACATGGCCCCCCACAGGCCAATTCGCCAAAAGTAAAGGCGACTTCAGGTCGAAGAGAAAAAGCACCCTCCCCAGCCCTCCCCCCTTCACGGACACTGCAGGTCCAAGCCCCACGCACGCTTGGAAGGCGTCTGGGAGCGCTGCGCGCTCGCCTGCCAGTGTGTTGGAACAAGGCGGTCAAGAACCAAACTGAAACCTAAGTTTCCTTAAACCTGTAAACCCAAACCCTAGACACCAAAAAAAACCCTGAAATCTTCAGCCTGCCGCCGCAGGGCCGGCGGTGCGCGGAAGGCACCTGCGAACCGTGCTCTTGTTTGAGCTTGAAGCTTTGAGGTGCTTCGGGGATTGTGGGAGAGGCTAGGTCGGGCTTGGGATGATGTAGCACCTTCACGAGTTAGGCACCGGAGTCGGGGGCTCTCAGAGAATTGAAGCTTAAGGGGGCCCAGGACGGTTTAGGATTCAGGAGGAGGGCTCTCTACACATAACTTACACATACACACAGACACAGACAGGCAGGCAGGCTGGCAGACAGACAGACAGAGAGAGAGAGACACACACAGGTAAAAAAATCCTCGCCGAAGTCCAACTTTGGAAAGGAACCTACCTTATAAAAATCTAGAAACGACCGACCCCCCCAGCAGGACGTTGGCTGAAAAAACCTTTCATATCCTGAGGAACATCTCAAACGCTAGCGCCTCTCACAGGAAAACGCTCCGAGATCGTCTCCGTCGCCTGTGCTCACGGCACAGCAACCCATGATGGGCTCTGTTGCGACATGAAACTTCCGTGTTGGGCTTGTGCTTGACAGTTCAGTGACAGTGTCAGAAGCCGGATCAGGCACAGCACATGAGCGAAAATGGACCGGAGGGTTGGATTTGCCAAGGCCTAAACCCGCAAGTGAAAGAGCACGGGTCTGAATCCCTCCGGGTCTGTACCCGAAATTCCTAAACCCAGGTTCCTAACCCCCAAACCCTAAACCCTAAACCCGAAACCCTAAACCCTAAACCCTAAACCCTAAACCCTAAGCCCAAGCTTGCCGCCTCACCCATGGAGTCCGGCGAGTCGGAGGGAGCCAAGACCTGACAGGAAGGGCGGCTTCGGCTTCCAAGTTGAGCCGGGCTTATGTGGGGTTTGGGGTTCAGGGTTTAGGGTTTAGGGTTTAGGGTTTAGGGTTTAGGGTTTAGGATTCATGGGTTTTTACTGGTACGCGCCCCAGGTGCGGCTTAAGGGGTCGGAAACGCCCAGGATTCCTCAGGGCCCTTGAGCTTCGAAACCTTCAACCATCAGCCAGCCTGCAGCCGCTGCCGCAGTGCTTTGACTGCGGCGGCATGCTCTTTCCAGCCTCAGCCGCTTGCATTCCCCCCTTGCCCCCATGAGGCTATAAGCCCTAAACCATATAAACCCTGAACCCAAACCCCTAAACCCCTAAACAGCGCAATGGGCTGCATGACAGGGCGTTGGAGAAAGTGGGCCACAAGCCTCAGCAAGCTTGCCTTTCGGCCTTTTGGGTAACTTCTTGAATAAGAGCCAAAGAACGAGGCAAATTGAACTACACCTGTCATGTCCTGTCAAGGAGCTTTGAAAGCACTGTCGCCATGTGGACTCTTCGTCACGGAGCCATGTCAAGACACCTTCGTGGAACCACATCTCAATAGGACGCTTCGGCGATCGTCAGGTCGTCTCGACAAGAGCACAAGCAGTGCGCGCATGTCAGAGCACTTATATTTCATATGATATATTTCATATTATACATGTTTCTAATATATAATATATCATACTTTATATATATATATATATTACTTTTCTTATTATAATGTCTTATGTTTTTACACTAGTTTATCATATTTATCATATTATACTGTATGTGTGTATATATATATATATATACATATACACATATATGCATTTTCACATTTTGAGGTTGCTTGGCTACAGCCCGAAATGTTTCAAGGCGCAACTAAACCTTGCAAGCAAGCCACTCAGGCAGGTGTCGACGGGCACGAGGCCTTTGCCTGCAAGAAACAGAAACCACACGCAGAGTTCACAAAAAGAGCATGCACGCCCAACAAGGACCTCATGGGACGAGCCAAAAAACTCAAAGTAGTCCCGCGGCCCACAGTACGAAGCGGAGCCGCGAAAGTTGTACTCTAGGCCCTACGCATCCATCTGCACTGCGCGGCTTTTGGGCGCAGTGTGGTCGCTTCACGTGCCCGAGTGTGGCCTGAACCCAGACCCTAAACCCTAGTCAAGCGCTTCAGCCCCTGAAAAGCCGCACAAGTCGCACAAGTCGCACAAGCCGCCCCACCCCGCGCTCCCATAGGCCCCATCAATCCCATCGAACCCCAAACCCTAAAACCCCCTAACCCTAAACCCTAAACCCTAAACCCTACACCGCTACTCCTGAACCCCAAACGCCAAACCCAAAACCCTGAACCCTAAAGAGCCGCCTGGCATGGCGGCCCAGCAGCTGCCCTCTGGGATGCAGAAAAATAGCTCGCTGCCTCTGTTCAGGGATTTCTTTTCTGAAGGTTTCATCCCAGCGGGTTTAGGGTTTAGGGTTTCGGGTTTAGGGTTTAGGGTTTAGGGTTCAGATGGGTTCAGGGTTCAGGGTTTAGGGTTCAAGGTTTAGGGTTTAGGGTTTAGTTTAGGGTTTAGGGTTTAGGGTTTAGGGTTTAGGGTTTAGGGTTTAGGGTTTCGGGTTTAGGGTTTAGGGTTTAGGGTTTAGGGTTTAGGGTTTAGGGTTTAGGACCTATTTGTGAAGGTTTCGTGGCATCTTCACCTTCCGCAAGCCCTCTGAAATCCTAAGCTCCCTAAACCCTACACCGAAAACCCGGCATCCGCAACCATGCCTGTCCTTGAACATGTCTGCATCATTCGTCAGCACTCCCCAAGTATTTCCTGTGTATGGTGTATAGGAACCTTGCAGGTACACTGAAAGGATAGAACACCCGCCATTTAGGGTGGACAGGAGGGGGGAGCCAACTGGGCTTCAGGGTTTCCAATGTCATTAAGTAATTGAGTCGTCGACTTTCTATCTGTCCAGAAACCCTTCGAGCTGGAAGCCCGAACCCTATCGGTTCTAAACTTCTAAGCCCCAAACATAACCTACAAAGAGGTTCTACCTCAGGCAGAAAAGAACTCAGAGAATCGGAGCACCCACGAAGCGAAAAAAATTAGGGCTGATTGCGAAGCGAGGTACCATTGTCTGCCGTCCTGCACAGAAGAAGAAAGGATGCACGCAGAAATCTCGCAAGGGTCTGGGACACCTTCTTGGGCAAACAAATTGCCCACCACTTCATCCTGACATGAGCATTAAGACAAAACAAAACAAAATCTCACTCACTACCTGACGGCAAGTTATCACCCGTTGCCACCGCACTCGTCACGGTACCGGGCCTCCTCCTCCAAGTCTTGGTGGTCGAGTGGGTGGCCCAACCACTTTCGGAAACCTCGGAACTTCCAGAAGCCATCGCCTCTACCCAAGCCTAAGCCTAAACCCTAGAACCCTGAACCCTAAACCCCTGAACCCTCAAACCTAAACCCTGAACCCTACACCCCAAAAAACCCCGTAGGGATTGGCATGCTTAGTCAGGGCCAGGTGCCGTCCAGCCCTCCGCCGGCGGTGGCGAGAGGCCACGGTGGTCCTCACCACAGAAATCGTAAGTGAAGCCCAAAACCCTCAACGCTAGACGCACTAAAGCCCAAACACTTAACTAAACTCGTACCCTCAAACCCTGACCCAGGACCCTGTAACCCAGAACCCTATAACCCTGAACCCTAAACCCTAAACCCTAAACTCTAAACCCGAGCCTGCCATCGGCCCCCGCGGCGCCCGAGCGGCGCGGTGCGCAAGGGGGGGCGGCTCGCGGGCTCCTCCGGGGCGTCGATACAGGGGGGGTGACTTGCGGTTTACGGAGATTTGGAGTTTTGGGTTTGGGGTTAGGTTTTGGGGCTTGGGGTTTGGGGTTTGGGGTTTGGGGTTTGGGGTTTGGCTTTTGGGGTTTTTCGGTTTGGGGTTTTAGGGTTTGGGGGTTCAGGGTTGCTTCATACGTCGAAGGTCCCCCTTGCCCGACACGCTCATAGCAGGACCGGGGGGGGGGGTAGGGGGGGGCTCTTGAGAGCGGGGCCAACTTTGACAGGCAAGGATTGGAACCATGAAATGTCCCCCTCCGAGCCCAGGGCTTTTGCGGGTTTGGAGTTTTTGGGTTCGCGTGTAGTGTTTGAGGTTTCGGGTTTTCTGGCTAGTCGTACGTGAGCTTGCTTTTGGGGATGTCAACCTTTATAACCCCATATCAAAATTGGACTCAACTCATGGAACCCTTCTGTTACTGTAAGCTAGACAACAGTCGAGAGACCCACAAAGGCCATACAACTCGGAAACCTCCACGCCACCGGGGGGGACGACACCAAAGAAAGCCTTGGAAGCGAAAGGAGCACAGCTGCACTCGTCCTCGACAATGGCCTGGAAAGGCTCGGGGCTGTGGTGTTTCGGCTTTTGCCATGCGAGCGATTTATGACGAAGGACATAGAGAAGAAAACCATGCGAGGTCTCGGGCTTTGCAGAACTGAGGAGTTTCTGAGGCTTGAAGGGAATTCTTTTTGTTTGGGTTGCTTTGAAGGTGCGTGAACCACGGTTGTGTCTTCTTTGGCAACTAAAGGGTTTGCCCCGTGCGCCTGCAAAGAAGATCTAACCCGAAAACCCTCTGCACCTTAAGCCCTGCACCTTAAGCCCTAAACCCGGCCAGTTCGAGCCCAAACCCCAAACCCATCTAAACCCCAAAACCCTCAAACGCTGAAGTAAGCCGCTGCACCAACAGACCCCTCCGAGGTGCCGGCTTCGGCCTCGAGCTCGCCGCTCGCGCCGCCGCGCGCCCGAAGCTGCGGCCGGAAAGGGGAGGGGGGGGGAGGGTGGTTCTATTGTTGGGTCTTGGGGGAGGCTGGAAAGCGGGTACGGGGCTTGGGGTCATATGGTGATCCGAGGGACTGGGGCCAGGGCTTAAGGAAACTGCGAGGGAACGTGCAGAGCTCGGCAGAGAAAGCGGGCTGAGAATGGCTGAGAGCCCCACGAAAATGTCCACCTTCCCACCCTGCCTGAGGGGCTCAGGCTTCGCCATGCAAGAGATACCCGTAGCCAGGTTGATACATGTCATGGAAACTCCTTTTCAAAGACCCCAAAAGAGGGCACACCCCAAATTTCGGGAGGTTCCGTTGGACTCAAAAAGCAGATACCTGGGAATGCCTCATCAAAGGACGTCTCCAAGCTCAGGAAATGCACCGTATGAATATAGTGGGCCCAGCGAACCCCAACATCCTTCTGAAAGTAGCGCATCTCCTCCTTGTCTTTCAAGGGCCCTAGCATACGATTTGCGCCATCATCGTGCTCATGAAGGATTTGGGTCCTTATCATGAGGGATCTAGATTGGGGTCCCCTAGTGGGATACAGGACTCGGCTATTGTGCCCTGGACGGGACACACACTGTCCATTTCACCAACTGTTAAACATTTGGGGAGTCTTTTCGACCGTTCTTTGTCCGTGCTTCCCGAAATTCGAGCACGCCTTGCTTCAGCCCGTGCTGAAGCTGTGGCTTTGCGCAAGCCGGTCCTTTCCGCCCAGCAGGTCCCGCTGCACGCTAGGGTTGAGCTTTTCCATGGCCTCGTTGGGAATAAGTTGACATTCCAAATTGGGATCTGGAAGGAACTCCGGATCAGAGAGAGCAAGGCTTGGAGGCATGGAACGGCAGCGTTGTACCGCATGCTCCTACCAGACCGCCAGAGACACGCAGCCTCGTCCTGGTCTTTGCATGCCCTGTGCGGTTATCTCGGCGTTCCGCATCCCGACTCCTTGATCAGCGTTGCCAGATGCCAAGTTCTTGATCATGTGGCCCTCTCAGAGGATGGAGGACTGCGCCTGCTGTTAGGTCAGTTGCGTCATGAACTCTCTTGGATTGAGGCGGTTCGCCGGGATCTCAGCTGGGCCGCCCAGATCGGATGTTTAGACCTTGGCCTCGCACGTGGCTCCCTCGTTGACTGGATCCAGGCGAGTAAAACGGGCATTTCGTTTGCACTGCAAATCCGCAAGGCAGTGCGTAAGCACCATCTCATGGGTCAGCGGAGTCAAGTTGCTCTCGAGTCACCTTCCGTTGATACAGTTGATGTTGGAGTTGACGTTGCGGCTTGTGTCGACCGGCTTCGATGCCCTGTGTGCGATAAGCCCTTTGACTCCAAGAGGCAACTTGCCACACATGCGAATCGCGTACATGCCGTTACCTCGAGGAGCAGGTTCTTTGCTGGCCCATCGAACAATTGTTGTGCTTGCAGCTTGCAGTTTGCGACGCGTCGGAAGTTGCTTGCACACTTGGGTGTATGGTCGCGACGTTGTCTTGCGTTCCTCCAGGCCCATTTTCATCCTCTGAGCATTGAGGATGTTAAAGAGCTAGATGCCCGTGACGGCCAGCTCATCAAGGAACAGAGGCGAAGAGGACGCCCAAGTGACGCTGAGAGAAGGTTGTGTCGCTATGCATGCGTTCCTGCAGATTTGTGCCCGGTCGGTGATGAACCTCCCAGGCCAATACCGGTGTTGTGCTCAGAGGACCTACCTGGCGAGAAACAGCATCACGGTAACAATCGCAATGCCTTCGAACCGCGACCCTCCATCCCTACGTGGTGAGAACTTGCAAGTCGCTCTAGTGCTTATGTCTTGTCACATCTGGCTAGGAGCCAATTGGTGATTTTCCTTTCACCCTAGGCGCGGATTGACCCTCGGAAGCCGTGAGTTGAGTTGAGAGTTGGGGTCCCCTAGGTAAACCCCCATTTTGAGGATCTTAAGAAAGCATCCATGTCATCCTGTCCTTTCATCTAGTGATCTCTTCCTAAGAGATCCGGCAGCCAAACTAGTTCGTTCGTCTCTCTTATGGTCCTCTTACCTATGATTTCCAAGATCTAGGAGGCGCACCTTCAAAGAAAACACCACCCCGAACCACCAGACTCAGGGTTCGGAGTGCCGGAATCCCCCCCCCCCCGAACCCCCAAACCCGGTGGGTCTTCAGCAGGTGCGGCCAAGGGCACGTGGCGTCGAAGGTCACGGCCTCGCCCGGGCCCACCGCCCTTCGGCGGCAGAAGTCGAACCTCGGAGGCTCGGAGGTTCGTCCATGGAAAAGAATGGTCATTCATGCATGATAACTACGAAATAAGAATGATGAGGACAAGAATAAAAGGAAGAACAAGAACCCATTGAAAATCCATAACAAAAAATAGGAACAGTCACTTACAGTAGTTTTCATACCTTGGGTTCGGAAAGCTGAGGCCGCGGGAGGTTTGCCGAGCGAGGCATCGAAAATGGAGGGTTCAGGCTCCGCCATAACAACTGCCACATAAATAATACTACGATTGTTCCGACACACATCTGTACTTTTCATGTTTTCGTTTGAGGGGCTTTTGCATGAAAGCCCCAGGCCACTGAGGCCAAGCGAAACCGCCGAGTCATCAGACAAGGAAGCCTCTGCGGACTAGATGCCGATAGGCCGCGCCCGCCTCGTATTCCTGGGATGCACGTGCCATGTGTCAAGGCGAGAGGAAGCTTGCATACGACTGCGCAAGTACAGCTGAACTCGGCAGTATTTTTGCAATTGATGGCCCTCGCAGCACCGCCTTTGGGAAGCTTCAGGCTGAGTACAGCCAAGTCTCTGGAAGGGTCTCAAACACCTGAGACCAAAGAAACCACGGCAACACAAAGCCGTAGCAGGCCCTAAACAAACTGCAGTCCACTCCACGAAAACGGCTCCCGAAGCCACGAAGGTCCCCGAAACCCTAAACCTTTTCAAACCTTTAAACCGTTTGAACCCCTTGGGCCGGATCGACCCACCTTTTACACCCTTTGAACCTCAAACCCTAAACCCTGAACCCTAAACCCTAAACCCTGAGCCCTAAGCCCTAAGCCCGCAGCACCTGGCTCCAGCTCCCGTCCAAATCCGGCGCGCCGGCTGAGAAGGCCCAGGGCGCGTCCACCGCCTCCACACATCAAAAATCCCTCATATCCGACTCAGGGGTTCTACCCTGTAAGTAAGTCTATAAGGGCTATCTTCATTTTTTGTTGCCCGAAAGCCACTGCGTAGCTTACTCGGGTTGGTGAGACTTAACGCGTCAAAGCGAGACTTTACGCATCATTAAAGGAGCGTGCAAGTGCTCAACCCCAAACCCTGATTCGGATTGGATCACTCTGGGCCTGGCGTTGCGGAGCTTTGGTATGACAACGAGAAGCTGAAACCCTGGATCCTACCCTAAAAGCTGCAGCAAGCCAGAGCCCGTCCGGAATTCCCCTTATAAAGGCCCTTGTACCGCAACATGGGATCCTCATGTTTATGTGGTTTTGGGGCCCCCTCCGGCCTTCGTCTCACCAAGGACGTACACCTCCATGCCTCGGCAAAGCAAAGGATATCCATCCCCTTTTCACGGCTTCTCATGCAAGTTACCACGGACAGAAACTCACCCTCGTGTCAACCTAAAAGGGGGTTGTGAAGACTGCCGGCTGCTTGAGGTTTAGGAGCTTCTGAGCCGCCATGGGTCGTAGTGGATCTTCTGGGGCCCCTTTGAAAAATGGGGAAGGAGGTACCCCATATCCCCCAGCATAGAACCTTTTGAAGGATTCTCACTGTACCTCGTTGCCATAGCTCCATACCTGGAACTTGGACCCAGTTTGGGCCTTCGGCTTTGGGGTGTGCATCTGGGGTGTAGGGCTGTAGTGCTTAGGCATAGTTCGCCCGCAGGGTTTAACACTTGGCGTCTCTCTCCGCAGGCCCGCCGCCCACCCTCGCCGGCGCCCGCAGCGTAAACCGCGCCTTGCGGGAGTCGACGGCGGTGCCTCTCAAGCCCAGGGCTTATCAAACCTCAAGATCTTGGGGTTGGTGTTTTAGTTCCAAGGTCTGGGGCGCTTTCGCTTCAGGAGTTTTTTCCAGGGTACCGGGACCAGAAGGCTACAGGCAGGGAGGTTGTGCGGCGATGTTGCAAGCCACAGACTTCCAACAGGGCGGTAGCCAAGCGGGGCGGTGGCGCATAGAAACGAAGTCTACATTGGGATGTTCCCCCTTACACTAACAGTCCTTAACAGGGATTATAGTACCCCTTATTATAATCACCATTAAGGACTGTTAGGGTAAGGGGAACATCCCAAAGTCTACAGGAGCTGTTGCCCGGGTCGCAAGCGCGCATGCTGCCCTGACCGTGCCTTCTCTGCACGGAATTCCATGATGCCACAAACCCTCCACGCAACACTTCCAGGCCCCTCACCAAATCCCACACTACTCAGAACCAACCAACAAACTCCATTCAGTTCGCCGACCCTGCAAAAACAAAGAAGACTAAGCAGCAAAGCTTCCATCCCCAGACGCTACGCACGTAAACATCAAAGCTGAACAGGGCCCAAGGTCTGCAATATTCTGTAATACAAGCAACAGAGACCCCCCCGATCGACACGGTGGAAGCTACGCCGTTCGCGGCAAGAGGCGAACTTTGAAATGGAAGGCCGCCGTGGTGAAGCTTCCGAGGCGGGTGTAGGTCCTCTGTAGGGGCTCTGATGCACTTGGCGGTTCAGTACTGCTTACCTGTACTTACAACCCAATTATGTCCATATTAGGGCACTTAAGGGGGGTCATAAGTACGGCTATAATTGGGAAATAGGTACCATGAACCTCCAAGTAGGGTGGCGTAAGGCTTCCAAAGTGTCCGGTCTGGGGGTGGGCGGCATGTGGGAGCCAGGTGTTGGGCGGAGTTTCGGTGCAACCTCTTTTGAGCGCTTCGCATGTGCAGGTACATCCACTGATCCCGGCCCATTCGATCTCTTTCCCTGCTGGGTCCCACTGAGGTTTCGGGTTCTGGTCATTTGGTTTAAGGCTCTTTTGAGGCCTTTGAAGCGTGAACCGCAGCCGAACCCCGGAGAAGTGGGTTTAGGGTTTAGGTTCAGAGTTCCTGCTTGAGGGCCTATTTAGAAACCAAGCCTCGGCGTGCCATCGAGATCTGGAAAAAAGAAACACCAACTCCTGACAAAAGCGCCTCAACTTGTGAAGCATAAACTTTACGCCCCTAGACCCTGCATGTTTTGGAAAGCCCTGCAGCCCTAAACCAAAACATGCGGGGTTTCTAAACCCTCATCTTGGGGGTCCTTCCTTCGACTCATCCCTCACCAAAATCTAGAACAAACTCCCCGTACTGGGGGCTGGGAGCCGGACCAAGCTCGGTCGGACCAAACCGGCGTGCCGACGTCCCAGGCCACCTTAGGCCACCGAGGGCTTGGGGTTCGCCCGCGCAGGGGAAGCTGTCCAGTTTTTGCGCCCTGTCCGCGGTTTTAACAAAACATGTCAGCCCGGTTTGATCTCGTGCTTCCCTTAACAAGAAACCAAAAACAACTTTTCGATAGGTCCGCGGCTCATTCAGACGGCATGCGCAAGCATGAGCCTCCGCTGCCTTTGTACTGAACCTCCACATGATGCGAACTCCATGGCCCAAAGCCAAGTCACCAGGATCTCCGCTGGGATTCGCTCCTCTGGTGCTGAAGACTTGATTTTGCTGAGGCTCTCCAGGGCTTGTAGCGTTAGGAACCAGAACTGACCACATGGGGTCTCAGAGGTTCGGTCATAAAGGAACACTGGGATTGCAGAACCCCAAAGCCACCTACATGTGAGAGCCACGGACCTGAGCTGGGGTTCCTCAGATGCAACCCCAAACCTCGTGCCAACCCCTGAATAAGTTAAAACCTCAAGTCTTGGACAAGCGTCGAAGCCCGACAAGATAGAGCAGGCGGGACCCGCCGCCGGTCCATCGCCTCTGCATTGAGGGTTGAGGGTGCTGTGGTGGAAATTGTCATCAACCTAAGGTTGAGGTTGCAGCCCCTGTCAAGGCCTGAAGCCAAAATTCCGAGACTTGCAACCAAAGCTCCAGACCTGAAACCATTCGGGTTCTCTCTACAACTAGGGTCACTGTAGGGTCCCTTCTCGATCCCAGAGGATACGAAAAGAAGGACCATAAGAAGAGAACTACCCATTTCTTAAGCCACGAACTGTTGCCATACCGATGGGCCCAAATCTGCCCGAACCAGGGTTTAGGGCTTAGGGTTTAGGGTTTAGGGTTTGGGGTTTGGGGTTTGGGCGTTTGGGCGTTTGGGCGTTTGAGCGTTTGGCGTTTGGGGTTTGGGGTTTGGGGTCTGGGGTCTGGGTTGTTGTTCAGGGAATTATGGTTTGGGGTTTAAGGTTCGGCCCGAGTTGATGCGGTCCCAAGGCTTCCAAAGCTTTTGTGGGATATCTTCCAAGGGTTCCTTCGTATTGTCGGCAGGCATGATCAGGATGCGAGGCAAGCAGCGGCCTCATCCATACTTGTGCCAAGGCGCTGATGCCAGAGTCGGACGATGAAATACTCAAACCCATGCAACTCACATCTGCCGTTGTCTTTGCGGCAACGTGTTGTCATAAGGTTGTGCATGTTGTCGGCTGCATGCTGTTTGAAAGCCACGATACCATTTCTTGATATGTGCTGGGCAGATTTGGAATGTGGAACTCATCGACATGTTTCTTCTGAAACTAATGCACACTAGGATACATCTCCATGTTTGGGCCTTTCAGACCACAGATTCCCCAAGCGTCAGAGCTGGGTTCAGGGCTTCCTGAACACCCCGAGCCGTGCAGCGAGCTCGCTGAGGTGTCACGGGTTTTTCTAAGTGAGTTTGTAGGGTTCGGGGATATGGGAGGTTTTTTCAGATGTTTAAGGCTACCGTCAAAATACCAAATAGCCGTTATCCCTCAAACCCTGATTCGCTAGGAGTTTGAGCCACGCGCTTTGGGGTTAGAGCAGCTTACGGCTAAAAATGGCTTAGGGTTCAGGGTTGGGGTGAACAGTTTCGCGACCGCTCGCAATCAGAAGCAATACAACCAGACGCGGACGATTCGTTGACGACATTCAAGGCTTTAGTTTCAAAACTCCAACCTTTGCATCCGAAACTCTCAACTTTCAAAACAAGACCCCCTCCCCTCTAAAATCTCAAACTCGCAGCGTGAAAAGGCCTGAGCTAATCCAGCTACTCTCCCTGAACCTCCCAATGCTAATGACCCATGTAACCCGCTAAACAGGCGATGGTGAATACCTTGGCAACCCGGAAACCTAAATTCTCAGCCAGCTTGTAGGGTTTTCCGGTTGGGTTCGTGGTGCGTTGCGTAGTTGGCTGTGGATTTGCATAAGGCGGCGGCGCGAATGTTTTAACCTGCCGCAATTTATACAGCCTGGAACCTAAACCTCCAAACCCTAGATACTAAAAACACCGAACAGCCAAAAAAAAAATCTGAGATACATGATCACGGCCGAGTTAGAATTTGCCCCACGGTGTGACTGCCGAGCCGATGCACATGTACCAACCTTCTCAATATTCCACAAGTACTCCGCAAGTACTCCGACCCATCCTGAAGGTTATAAAGAGGCCTGAGCCTCAACAATCCTGGGGTGACAGAACTTTAGATCGACCCAAGCCCTGAGCCCTAAACCGTGAAGCTATGCGAAGCTCACTTGGTCAAATGGGCCAACGTGCCCACATACAAGCGCTGCCGCACTGTGTATGCCCCCCCCCCCCGTCTTATTGTATCCCCCATGGTAACCCCCACACCCCCGGGAAGAGGGGAAACCAACCTTGAACCTAAACGTAAAACCTTGAACCCTAAACCATGAACCCATGAGCCACGGTGGGGTGCAGTGTGAATATCTAAACTTAAACTCAAGCACGTCAAGTCTAACGGTAAAGCTTAAACCTAAAACCCGCCAGGAACCTCAGACGGGGGGGACACCATAAACTCTGAACCTTTCTCATGAACATAGCCGGGATACCAGAAACCCTGCACCCTAAACCTCAACCCCACCATGAACAACAGGGAGCGGAGTGAAAACCCTGAACACTAAAACCTAACCCTAATCCTTAAACTTCAAACCTGAAACCGACACTAAACCGACTCGTGCACACAGATCGTCCTGAACCCTTTCTCAAAAAAGGGCACCCTCATTTTCCAGCGCAAAGGCGAAGAGCAAGGGCGCAGTGAGGAGACGCCGTCGAGAATGACCAGGAGCACGATGCAGCGAGTCGGGCACCGGGCCCGGGCTTGGGCTTGCCAAGCTCCTCTTTGTGGTCGCCGTGGTGAAGATCGAAGAAGGCCTCATAGAAGGTCTAGTGCTTTGGAAGGCTTAGGGACGTTTGGGGAGTTAGGGTAAGGCTATGCATTTGGAATTCAAAAACTAGCCTTTCCTTCTGGCAGTGTTCCACGAAGAAGGGTGCTTAGGCTTAGGCAAAGACCCTAACCCCTTCCGGGTGTGCTCGAAACCCTAACAAACCTTTTAAGGGTTTAAGGGCTTGGAGGATGTCCGAGATGTCCGATGCAAAGGGGTTCCTCATGAATTCGCGGGGGCCTGGCCCGAGGACAGGGCTTCTACACGCGAGGATGGTCGTCTCGAGCGTCCTGCAGCACGAACCCTACCAGATTCCGCGCTTTCTGACTTTCCCTGACCAATAGAGCAACACTTCCCAATCCCAACCATGCAAAAGAACACCAGCACGAATGCAATCTTCTGAGGGGACATGCCCAAACGAGCGTTGACAACACTTGGGCTGGGATGTTGGGCACTCCTCTGCTCGAGCTACGTACGCTGCAACAACCCTTGGAGCTGTTGTTAGAAGACCATACACACACTATTGCAAGGATCTCCGACACGGCCACTACTATGCATACCTATCTAGCTTTCACACTAGCGTAATGGAAAGCATCAAAGCAATCAAAAACCCAAAAGCAGGTGGCCAGCTCCTGCACGAGCAGTTGCCAAGGCCCCTCCTTTTTTGCGCCCCATCACAATTCCAGTCACAGCTCCTGCGTTCAAGAGGCCGGGGAAATGCGAGGGTGGCCTTGGCGTGGTGAGCGGAATCACATCATGAACAACAGCGCGCGCGCGCGCAGGGGCTGTCAAGAAGCCGCACAGAAACTAAGCAGCTTATTTCGACGCAGACGAATTGATTGCTGAAAACAGCGAGCCAATCTGAAATTACGGCTCGGAAGCTGACAAGCTTTAGACACTCAAGGCCTGGATTCAAACAAGACATGCTGGCATCCAAGAAACACTTAAGCTCAGCAGCTCGCCTCTTGAAGGAGGGATTTAGCTGCTAGTCGGTAGCTGGCTTTGGCGCAGGCTGCGCCTCCTCGCCTTTCCCCATATACTCTTTGAGCTTGATGTCTTTCAGGCTTGCCTTCCAGTCTTCTTCGCTAGCTGCACACCCTAGCTTTGCACTTTCATTACGTTGCCCCGTTAGACCCCACATGTGTCTCCGAAACTCCCCCTCATGAAACAATCCCACCTTCCATACCTGACCCATATCTCCGCGCTCCACCTTCCTGCTGGTTGTCATGCTCCCTCTTTGCCCTGTACGGCGGCTGAGGACTTTCCGTCGTTAGATTTGCAACGCCCAGCTCCAAAGCCTAAAGGACTGCGCTAACAACCTCTTGTTCTTCGGATTCTTCTTAGAAATAGAGACTCTATTGTGAGAAACCCACAGATCACAAGCCTTTCCCACCAGGTTATTTCTGAGCCATGCAAAGTCCATCAGCAGCACATGCACCAAACCATGAGCGCGAGGCGAAGGGCTCTCATCAAATCCTGGCCGCAACTTTGCGAGGCTGAACAAGCAGAAAGCATGCGTGAGGGTGAGAACGCCTGCTCATACTGAAGGCAATGATACTGAAGGTAGTTTGCATATGAACCCATACAGAGCGTGGACGGCGCAAGCGCAAGGTTCGCTGAAAATGGGAAGGACAAACAACTTAAACTCACCAACTCATTACCAGCTAACTAACGCCTAAAGGTGTAGTGCGTTGCGGCGTGACTTCTCCTGCGGTGTCTGCAGTGTCTGCTTGCCACCAGACACACCACACTTCGGCAATGACAATCAACAAGTCAGGTCACGATGCCTCCACGTCGTCCATGCACAGCAGGCTAGCTTTGTTGTCCTCCCGTAAGTAAATGAAACCACGTGCAAGTACAGCATGACTCAGAACCCAACGGTCAAGACACGCGCACTCGTAAACACAGGAAACAAAGGCTGTGATGTTGGGTTCTGCGTTTACACTGGTCCACCGAGCCCCTATCCAAGCAGCATGCACCCTTCCGACTTGCCTGGAGCAGCGCAAGTGCGTAGGTGAGGAGCGCCTTTGGCCCCTCACGCAGCATCTTGCCCCACACGCGCACGACCTGAGCATGGTCTTCGCTTTATCCCCAAGCACAATGTCCTGGTGTTCGATGCCTGCAAACCCTGCGCCGACTTCCCAACATCTCAGTCCAGCACGGCTGCCTCTGGCACCACCGTGATAAACAGCGTGTGGAACCAGGGCTGTGCATACCTGAGGCTCGAGCACAAACAGGGCCATGGGATCTTAAGCAACATTGAAAAGGGCCTTAAGAGACTAGGTGGGCGCAGCAGCATCGCTTCTTTCTACTCTACTGCTTCCTGTGCCGAGTTTGGGTGGTGTGTTGGCGGACAGGAAATGTCAAGATCCGTATGAAGCCGTCATGTTTCTTTTTCAAAGAACAAGAAGCAGCTATCTACAATGAACAAGAGCAACAATGGCCGACGTGAACCGCTGTGCTGGCCAGGTACATCATTGCCACCACACCCTTGCTGAGGAGGTGCCGATGCCTGGATGCCGCACTTAGATCATCGTGGGGGGCCTATTGCAGCCAAACCGAGTTGTGAACTATGTTTCTGAAGCTGTGTGGTCTGAGGCCAACGGTCCAGGCACGTCACAACTGCATGAAAGGGTGCTCAAGTCGCATCACGTCTCGATACACATCTGTCAAACCTTGTCTTGAGAATAGCTAGTCAGAGCTAGGTAATATGCAGCACCTACCAGACCCTTTCAGGCTCTTGTCGCGGGGAGTTTCCCTCCGCTACGTTGCGGGCTACGTACTTGACATCTCCGCTTACAAGCACCCGAATGGTCCAAAACGACTAAGAGCCCAAGTCCTGTTCTCATCTGCTTCTCGAAGCAGCTACTGGATGCTGCAAGTTTCGGATTCCGGAACCCATCTTCACGTTCACTCCCCTCCCCTGAGCGAGGCCAACCTGCTGGGGCACTACTTGCAATAACTCCAACCAAACGTAAAGGAACATCCCGAAACTGTTGATTGGTTCTCCTGGGTGCCCGGGCAGGTCCGGGAGGACTTCCATCAACAGGTTCCTGAGACAACCATGGTCTCGTGATCTTGCTGTCGTCCGCAAACCCTTGTCCTGTTTCTCACTCCCCCACGCAAAAGAAAGGACGAAAAACAATCAACAACACATGCATTTTGACAACTGACAAATGTGATTGACCGAAGGAACACGCCCGAAGATGGACCGACACACTCTTCTCGACGCTGACTTCCCGGGATCACTTAGAATATCTCAAAATAGAACTCCTCACATCCATTCTAGCCAGGCTTCTCAAGCTCGTGCAAGTAGCGGTGAAGAAGCGGAAACCTGAGGAGCCATGTGTCTACCAAAATTGTCAGTCAAAATTCTTTCCGCACGTCTAGGGAAAGCAAGGTCCCCCCCTCCCAGGGCGGCCTGCAACACGCCCCTCCCCCACCTACCCCCCTTATATACCCCACGTGAACCCTTAATTCGCCCTGGTACCCTTGCCGAGGTGGTTCGCGTCAGCGGATACATTACAGCTCGGCTCAATCTTGGCACAGCGGTTTCTTCGCTGAGTCCGTGCGATCACTTGCCAATGCACTGTGACGCAATCATCCGGATCTGAGTCGAATCAAGAACTCTGCGGCCCCGGCCCGCCCGTGTAGAGACCGCTGAGCAGGAAGTCCTGCCGAGAGAAGGGATCGTGAAAGTGGCTTAATGGATGGTTCCTCCTGCTGCTTCGGAGGTTTCTTGCGCCATCGGAATGCTGAGGGACGCTGCTTGACTCATCCAGGTCTGCTCGATAAAATATCAGTGAAGGAATAGTACTGCGAACTCGTTTGTACACACGCACACGCGGGCAAGCACAGCGCACTGTAAAAAACACAATCTTGCGGTAGGCTGATGATGATGCCGTGAATGTTGCAAATAACAGTACGAACACCCAGGCCACGAGCAACTTAAGTCCTCATGGTCCATGAGGTGTGCGAAAGCAGCAAATGCTTCCTCCTGAGCAGAGAAAATGGTTCCACAAGCACGGGGCGATTTGCTGCCTTTCCTGAGCAGATGAAACATGGGGGGAAGATCGTAGTTCTACTGGCTTGCACTGGTAGTCTGTGCTGACTGCGAAGACGGAGGCGATAATTGATTCACACATTTTTCGCGATGTCGGCGACACAGACACCAAGTCTGTGAGGAACTCGCTCTCAGCTTCCAGCTTTGTACGGGTTCAACACGGTTTTGCAAAACACACAACCTCGAGCCCGAGATTGAAACCCCTTGACATCCGAACTGTACATTGGAAGGGACCAGTCGGGCAGGCTGTCCTCGCCACGAGAAAGACGCAGCAGCCAAGCTGCAACGAAGTTCATGCCCTGTCATTACATGCAGTTCAAAGCCGACACGGTCTCCACCCAAAGATTGCGCTGCGCAGTGCTCGATGAAAGCAAACAGCCCGAATCGACATCCACAGACACAAATCTACGATTTTTTGGCGCTTCACACGGTTTCGCATAGCTCAGGGTTTTCCATGCAGGATTTGGGCAGTCGGGTCGGCAGAGGTGCAACCCAGCTGACAGTTAAGCATCGTGCAAAACAACACAAGACCCGAATGCGACCTGCGTTGAGGTCAACTTATTTCTCAGGCATTCCCAAGGCCAGCCTGACAGTAGCCACAAGTCGGATTGTGGCCTCAAAGCAGCATGAAATGATTTCTCTTTCACTCGCCTAAGCTCTGAGGGATGTTGGCTTCCAGCATAACGACTCTTAGGCTGGGAAGGCACAAGTAGACTTTAAAGTTCGACAGCACAAGTCACAAACCTCTACAAGCGATGCATCCCAGAATCCTCACGCGCACACATCTGCAACGTCGCCCGCCATGACTGGGACTCGAAACTGTTGTATCTGTTTCCAGTGAAGCTTCTGAAACACTGAAACTCCGCGGCCCTAATTTGTCGTTGACAAGGACCGCCCCCAATTCAGCTCGCAGGGAAGTGAATCACGTCAAGCTGTGGTTTGGTAGAAGAAGACTCGGACACGTGACAAGGCAGTTGTGCTGGCGTGTAAGCTCTGGGCACTCAGGGCCCTGCGTGGAAGCCCTTTTGAAACGGCAAAGCGCTAAGCCCCAGACTCGCGTAGGCAGTGAGTATTCGTCTGAGGCACCTGGCTCGAGGCGGGGCAAACACTTGCTTGCTCCATGGCGCATGCCAAAGGCAGGAAAAGCGAGCGGTTCACCATGAGAAGAGCACAAATATACCTGATAATCATATTAACATCAAAGCATTGTTCATCATAATGATAGACACTACATCAGCAAGATTCACAATGCCAATGCTAGTCATACCAACAAATATAGATCTCATAATAAGGCGATTAACGAGATGCCAATGGCAACAAAAGACCTCCGAAGACCTCCGACCATAGCTTTAACTGACAATAACACTAAAAAGTACATGCAATGACAATAAGAAGAAAAACAACGGCAAAAGAAAAGGTGAAGAACATGTCAGCAATCAAAACCATAAAACCAGATTCGTAATGATGAGTAACAATCGCAGGAATCTTCTTCTTAATTGCCCTCAGCATAAACAGAAGCACAAGAACATACACATGCAAAAAAAGCCGCACAGGAACTGTCTAGCCGAGCAGCTGTTGCTGCTCATCGTCAAAGTCCGGGAAGGTGCGGCCGATGTCCTTGTGAAACAACCCCTCAAGCCCTAACCTAAACCAGCATGCTAAAGTCTAACGGCTTCAAAGGTCGTCGGGCTTGAGGTTCAAGGCTTTGGGGTTTAGGGTTTAGGGTTTAGGCGGTCCAGGGCATTTAGGGTTTAGGTTTGAGGTCGAGGGTTTGGGGGTTCGAGGTTTAGGGCTTAGGCCACCCTGCACCTCGAAGCCCCAAATCTCGAAGCTCTTGAACACCGGCTTGTGACAGGTTAGCCGCTGATCGGGTCTAACACGTTGATGGACCACCGATCTCCTTGCCAGGGTTTGACTTCAATTCTTCGCGTTAAAGGAACAACTCGGTTTTTGGTCTTGACCGCTCTCCGTTGACGAAGGTCATGGGGCATTCGGCGTCTCTGCTCGCCTTTCTCGTTCTCAATCCAGACCTCGCCCCCGGAATGTTCTCGTCTGGTTCTTCCCGATGTTGCGGCTGTCCCGATGGTCCCAACTGCGTCACCAAGGGAAACTTCCTTGTGGCGCGAGTAATCTTGGAGAATTTACCGTAAGAGAACTGCTCAAGGAGCACCGCCTTGTTGTTGCCGGACGAAGATCTTCTTCTCGACTTCTCCCGCCATTCCACAGCCTTCAGCGTTTTCTGCTATTGGTAACTCCGCTCACCGGACGCTTGGTAACTGACCTAAGGAGTCTTGTCGAGGTCGCTTTCCAGGTCGACCCCTTAGGGGCCCCTGCCATCACCTGTTTTCCCGGGCTACGACATAGAGTGTGCAAGGGCTTTGAAGTTCCCAAGTGCCGACCTGGTGCCATGCACACATCGCTCAGTAGAAACTCAAGCCACGCATGATGTAAGAATGACAACGTTCCGGTAACAGGCATGCATCAAGTGCAGTTCCGAGAAGTTCGCACTTAACCTGAACCCGAGGGCCCTGCTGGATTCTGAAATGGTTTTCCACTCCGAGCTCTTTTTTGGGGGCCTCGAGGTTATTGGGAACCCCTGTCATGGGTGTTTTACCACACCTCGAGCACAATGTGCTGTGATTTTTCCAACTTGTAGGGGAGCCACGTAGAGGGCAGCTGGCGCAGGGCCCTTTTGTAAGGCACAAGGGGGTGTGCTTTGGCCCTCTCTCGCCGCAGGATCCCGAAGCGGACATAGAGTTTGACACAAGGAGGCAGTTCGGGGAGAGTTCCAAGAAGATGAACGTGCAGCAATGTGCAGCAGTGTAGGAGCCTTGTAATCCATTTGATTCCGTCCCGAAAGACCGCTGGGACGAAACACAGGCTGTGACATGATATGCATGGCCCTGCGTTGTCGTAATGAGCAGCAAGCCGGTGGCATCCTCCTTGTTTTCCGTAAGTTGAACACCATGGCCCCCCCCTCCCAATCCTTTTGAAGGGCTGACGTGTTGGTTCCCAGCTTCTCTCCAATCAGAGGCTTTTAAAAACACTTGTTTCAAAGCATTGAACTCTCTCTGAGGTGGGAGTGCCCATCTCCCGCCACAACACAGCTGAGAGGATCGAGAATCCACGTTTGAGGAAGGTTGCTCTAGGAGCTTTCGACGCCAAACTGCATCAGAGTGCAGTTTCAGGTCTCACAGTAGCATCGCTGCAGCCGATTTTGAGGCCAGAAAATTTGCTCGTAATCGGAATCGCAACAGGATGCAGTTCTGAGGCTGCGAAGTTGTGGAAACGCTTTCATTTGCACGCCGCGACCTGTCTGGCACCTGTCTGGCACCTGTCTGGCACCTGTCTGGCACCCTGTCGCAAGCCGAATTAGCACCCGATCAAGCACTCGAATTTCGACACCTTGTCGCAAACCGAATTAGCTGCCGCGTTTGCTAAAATTGGAAGTTACTCACCCGGTGAGTAACTTTTTTAAGTGGGGGTTGTCCGAGGTGGGAGGTCCCAGGATGGAGGTCCGAGGGAGGTCCGAGGTGTGGCCGTTGTGACAAAGCTGCCGATTTTTATGCTTTGTGACAGGCCTTCCTATCTTTTTTGCATGGGTGGGAGGTCCCAGGTGGGAGTCCCAGGTTCGAGGTCCCGAGGTGGGAGGTCCGAGGTGGGAGGTGGGAGGTCCGAGGTGGGAGGTCCGAGGTGTGGCCGTTGTGACAAAGCTGCCGATTTTTATGCTTTGTGACTTCCTATCTTTTTTGCATGGGTGGAAGGTCCCAGGTGGGAGGTCCGAGGTGGGAGGTCCCATGTGGGAGGTCCGAGGTGGGAGGTCCGAGGTGTGGCCGTTGTGACAAAGCTGCCGATTTTTATGCTTTGTGACAGGCCTTCCTATCTTTTTGCATGGGTGGAAGGTCCCAGGTGGGAGGTCCGAGGTGGGAGGTCCCATGTGGGAGGTCCGAGGTGGGAGGTCCGAGGTGTGGCCGTTGTGACAAAGCTGCCGATTTTTATGCTTTGTGACAGGCCTTCCTATCTTTTTTGCATGGGTGGAAGGTCCCAGGTGGGAGGTCCGAGGTAGGAGGTCCGAGGTGGGAGGTCCGAGGTGGGAGGTGGGAGGTCCGAAGTGGGAGGTCCGAGGTGTGGCCGTTGTGAAGCTGTCGATGTTTATGCTTTGTGACAGGCCTTCCTATTTTTTTGCATGGGTGGGAGGTCCCAGGCGGGAGGTCCGAGGCGGGAGGTCCGAGGCGGGAGGTCCGAGGTGGGGGTCCGAGGTGTGGCCGTTGTGACAAAGCTGCCGATTTTTGTGCTTTGTGACAAGCCTTCCTATTTTTTTGCATGGGTGGGAGGTCTGAGGCGGGAGGTCCGAGGTTGGAGGTCCGAGGTGTGGCCGTTGTGACGAAGCTGCCGATTTTTATGCTTTGTGACAAGCCTTCCTATTTTTTTTGCATGGGTGGGAGGTCCGAGGTGGGAGGTCCGAGGTGGGAGGCACGAGAGGCGAGCTCGAGTTTTTGCAGTAACGCTTTTTCTAAAGTGCTCTGCTGGCTTCCTGCCCTTGCCCGGTTTCCTCCCGACTCTCTTCAGGGAATTTCAGGCCCCAAGCCTTTGGGTTTCCTCCCTCACCCCTTCAGGGTGTTCAGGCCCCAGCCCCCTTGCTCCCGCGTAGGTGTGCCCTTCGAGTGCCCTGCTCTAAGCCCGAGCCCTCCCCCTTTTGCATGTCCGCGCCGCGCCGTCCTGCTCAAACCCAGCCCAGCACACCCCACCCCTTCCCATACAGCACATGCGACCCTCATCCCAGCACATGTAGCACCACTGAGAGCCTTTCAGCGCGAGCAACCCCTTTGCAGGCCAGGAAGCCTGAAGTCTAAGGCACCGCAGCCTCTAGCTCCAAGGAGCACTGCCTTAAGAGCCACGGAGCAGCCTTTGCCTGTAGCGATGCATTTGCTCCATGCCTGGTTTTATGCTGTGGCGCTGGGCCTCTTGCTCCGCTGTTGCGACGCGGTGACTGGTGGACAGGAGGACCGGGCCGCCGAGACTGGAGAGCCTGCGGTGCCGGTGCTGCCGCCAGCAGAGCCGGCAGATGACCCTGGCCCTGCTGCTGGCGATGTGGCATTGTGGGAGAACGAGGCGGCTGAAGAGCCCGACCCTCGACCTGTGACCTCCGAGGCGGCGGTCCCCGGGGCCAACCCTGGAGAGGCAGCTCTGACTGTGGTCGATTCGACCGACCATGCACAGCTCGCCACCGAGGAGGAGGTGGGCGAGATCATCGTGCAGATCCACTCCTTGCACCTCGAGGAGATAGTGAACGAGCGCCTAAAGCGTGAGACTATGGTTCACGTGAGCTGGCGCAACGTCGTCTACGTGGTGACCCAGGGCCAAATACACTCTTTTTTTGCGCAGAAGAAGGAGGCCGGCAAAGAGAAGAACAAGGAACAGGCTGGGGAGGCACCAGCACCAGAGGTGCCAGCTGTGGACAGCTCGGATTCTGAATCCTCGAGCAAAAAGGCTGGGCGGCTGCAGGAGATGGCTGATCGGCACCGGGAGGAGGAGCGTCGCGAGGTGGAGGATGAAAGGGCCAGGCGTGCGGCCTCTGCTAAGCGGGAGGCGGAGGAGTGGGCAGAGGAGCAGGCCCGAGACGCACGACGGGCGGCGGCGCGAAGGCGCATCCTGGATGAAGAAGCCAAAAGAAGGGAGGCCGCTGCTGCAGCCGCCGCTGCGAAGGAGGCTGCGGATGAGCTGGCTTTCAGAGCCCGGGTTCAGACCGCGGTCCAGGAGCACTTGTCCCAGTCTCTGCAAGAGGAGCGCCAGTCGCCGATCTTGACCCAGCTTATTCTTCAGCAACAGCAGATGCTGCGGCAGCAACAGCAGCTTCAGCAGCAGCAGCAACAGCAGCTAGAGGAGCTGCAGGGTTTCTGCAACCAGCTCCTCCAGCTGGGCGCGCGCCAGGAAGACGCGCGGAACCGTCACTTCCACCTGATCATGAACCGGTTCTTAGAGACCGTGACCGTGCAGCTGAGCCAGTCTATTGGTGGCGCGAAGCCAGCTACGACGCCTGGTGGGACCAAAACCCCGACGAGAACCACACCGACCACTCCCAGGCTACCTCGTTGCCAGATCTGCGGCCCGTGCAAGCACGTGGCGAAGAACCCACGGTCAAGGGCGCACTGCGAGCGCTGGCGGGGGTCCACTCTTGCAGAGATCCGCCAGAGCGCCAAGGGCGAGCCGGAGGCTGCGGAGGCTGCGGAGGCTGCGGAGGCTGCGGAGGCTTCTGATCTGGAGGAGGAGGACAAGGACGATGCCTCGCAACCAGCTTTGATTTCAGCAGCTCCTTTTGTTTTTATATTCAATCGAGTCCCTTAATCCCTTTGGTCCCTCCCCTGGTCCCTAGTTGAGTCCCTCCCCTGGTCCCTGAGAAGCAAAGGCAGTCACCCGACTTTGGCGTCGACCCCTTCGCCGCGGTGGCGGCTGGGGAGGCTGCTGCGGAGGCGCCTGGGCGAAGCAGCAAGGCGGCACCTGGGCGAAGCAGCAAGGCGGCACCTGGGCGAAGCAGCAGGGTTGGGCGAAGCGGCAAGGAGAAGAACGAGAAGAAGGACAAGAGCAAGAAGGACAAGAAGGACCAGAAGGAGAAGAAGGGCCGCGAAGCTCCGCAGCGAGACGTCCTGGGGAAGAGGCCGCCAGGCGATGGTGGGGATGGAGCTGGAGGGGCCGATGGAGGGGCCCCAAAAGGCACCGCGCGCGCTGCTTGTAGGAGGCCGCTTGGTCTATGCTGCCTGAGGCAGCCTGTCTCACCTTAGAAACCCGGGAGCACGCCCCCTCACAGGTTTTCAGGGTCTTAGTGGAGACTTAGAGTTTCAGGGAATGCCCAGGGTGCTCCCCCCCGCGGTCGGGGTCCGACACTTAAAAGAACAGAGGGCAGGTTCGGCGAGTTTTAGGGGACCGCGGGGGTAGAGGGTGGTGCGGGATGTGAGGGGGAAGCCGCCGGGGGCAAGGCCGGTGGCACACGAGGGGTGGAGTTCTCCGAGGTACCCAGTCGGGGCCTCGAGCCTTTTTTGCGGAAAAAAGAAGGGGGTCGGCGCGAGTGGTTCCTCAACCCTTCGGTTGCCCCCACCCCCTAGGAGGGTGCCTGAACCCCTTGTTTCAGGGCACCCGAGCCCCGGGGCTGCCAACCCTAGGTCCTGAGGCCCTTAGGCCCCGCCCGCCGTCCGCCGCCCCCGCCGCCCCGACACCTGGTTCCGTGGCCTCTCCCTGTCCTTTGCTCCTGCGTCTCGAACCCCTGCACTCCCACAGCCCCTTTCGGCCAAAGACTGCGCGTGAGCCTGAAAGTATCACAGCAAGCATATCCCAGCAAAGACTGCGTAACTCCAGGGCAACATCCAGCACATCCCAGCAAAAACTGCGTAGCTCCAGGGCTCTGCTTAGGACCATGGCTTACTCGTGCCCGGACTGCGCCAAGAGCTTCCGCGACGCCAGCGGGCTGCGGAGGCACGTGAGCTCCGTGCACCTGAAGGAGCGGCCCTTTCGGTGCCAGCAGTGCGAGGACACCTTCGGCACGCAATGGTCTCTGGAGCGGCATGTCAGGATCCGCCACGAGAACCTGAGGCCTCACCGCTGCGAGCTGTGCGAGGCGAGCTTCCACCAGGCGGGCGACCTCAAGAAGCACCTGGAGAGCCACGCCAAGCGACGGAAGCTGGGGGTGCCCCGCGAGACCACGGTTGCAAACTGGCTGGAGGGGGCGGACGTGAGCTTCGAGAGGGGCGTCAGGGTGGACTTCCGGGACGGCGAGGAGCCCCTCTTCGCCCGCGTCGACTTTCTGGTGCGGCAGCCCTGGGGCCTGGTGGCGCTGGAGGTCGACGAGCACCAGCACAAGCTGCGAGACACGGAGAGGGAGGCCCGAAGGATGCGGCGGATCCGGGCTGCCCTGTCGCTGGCCAAGGTGGTGCGCTACAACCCGGACGAGTTCACCGTGGACGGCCGGGCGGGGGAGGTCACGGCCAACGAGCGCCACCGCAGGCTGCTGGACTCCCTGGCGGCGGCTCCGGAGGCTGGCTTCGAGGAGGTGCGCCTCTTCTACGACGAGGGTCCCGAGGCCACAAGCGCCACGGGAAGCGCCGGTGTGCGATGAAGGAAAATGAAGGCCAGGGGTTCGAGTTCCTGTGTTTTGGTTGTGCAGCCCGTCGCACCGCGCGCCCGTCGCGCCGCGCGGCCGTCGCACCTCCACGCGCCGCACCTGTCTGGCACCTGTCTGGCACCTGTCTGGCACCTGTCGTCGTGCGCCCGTCGCACCTCCATGTCTGGCACCTGTCTGGCACCTGTCTGGCACCTGTCTGGCACCTGTCTGGCACCTGTCTGGCACCTGTCTGGCACCTGTCTGGCACCTGTCGTCGTTCGTGCGCGCCCGCTGTGCTGTCCTTTACCTCGTTCAGGCTGCCGGCTTGTTCGTGTTTGCCCTTGTAAAGCAATTGTGCCGACTACAGCAAGATTTGCACTCAAGGCGATCCGCTAGGACCTCGACTTCCGAGCCATGCCCTCTCAGCACGCTCCCGAGCGGTCCCAGATTCAGACTCTGAGGGCCAAGATCGACACGGGGCGCATGACGGCTTCGGGTGGCCGCGTCGGCAGGGAGCTCACGGAGGAGGAGCTGGAAGCATGCCGCCAGAAGCTGGTCGACCTGGAGGAGAAGCGGGAGCAGGGCATCCGAGACCGCAAGGTGGCCAAGGAGACTCTCGACAACACCGAGCAGCTCAAGGAGGGCCAGGCGGAAATCCTCAAGGTGATGAAAGCGGGTTGGAGGGGCTGAACCAGCGCTTGGACCCCGTGATCGCGCCGCCCGACTCCAGCGCCAACCTCCGGCTGCAGGCCAGGGAAGCGGCCAAACGCGAGAGGGAGGAGGAGAAGCTGCGCCAGCAGTTGCAGCTGGGCATTCCGCTGGGGCAGGGCGATGTCTACCAGGGCACGGTCCTCTTCAAGGCCGACGCGCTGGACCGCCTGGAGGAGTTTCGCGAGAGGGACCTGGAGGCCTATGTGGTCGTGCTTGGCTTCAAGGCCCGGTTGGTGATGGTCACCCGGCAGCACGCTGTGGTGCAGCTGATGCCGCCGTTGGACCTCTCGAACCTGAAAGCCCATAGCAACGCCATCGCATCCAACGGCGTGAGGCTGCAGGGCTTCCACGGCGGCGTGGTCCACGACCGCCTGGTGTGGAAGGCGGCGGCGCTTCTGGGCGAAGATGGCAAAAGGCTGCCCAAGCAGGCGATCCTGCGCTTCCTCATCCCGAACCCGACCCGCTTGGTGGAGAAGCTACCCGTTGCCGAGATTCGACCTGCGAAGCGCCGTGCGGTGGCGCTCGAGACCATGGAGGCTGAGGCGCCTTTCACGCCACTCCAAAGTCTTGCGGAGGCCCACTGGGAGACCGAGAAGGAGCGCGTCGAGCCCACCGAGCCGGAGCCGATCAAGGAGTCGGAGCCGACCGAGGAGCCGACCAAGGCGACCAAGGTGCCGGAGCCCATCGAGGAGCAGCCGACCAAGGAGCCGACCAAGGCACCCGAGCCGGGGTCGACCAAGGAGCCAGAGCCCTCCGAGCCCAAGGAGCTTTGGGAGATGACGGTGCATGGCAGGGTCGTGCGCTTCAGCATTGAGCAGAACGTCGGCTTTAGCCCGCTGGGGCCGGTCCGGGAGGTGAAGATGGAGCCGGGCGACGCCGACTTCCTGGCCCCGATCCGCTGCCACCCCAAGGGCATCGTGTTCAATAAGGAGGGCCTCTACCACATCGCTCCGGACTATTGGAGCAAGAATGTCACCCAGGTCGCGAAGGAGCTCGAGCCAACTGCGGAGGAGCCTATGCCCACCGAGGACTGCCGAGGTCCCGGAGGCCCAACCCGTCATCGAGCTGCGCCAGGTCTGGCTGATGAGCTCCCAGTGCGGCGTGCTGGCGGAGGTCACGGACGTGATGCTGCAGCAGGCCGAGCCCCCCAAACCCCACTGCCCCTTTTAGACGCGTTCGACCATCGACACGGGCTACACCGAGTAGGTGCCCCGATGGGTGCCCCGATGGGTGCCCCGATTTTGAAATTGGGGCACCCGTCGACACGGCTAGCTAGGGGGACCTGCGTTCGCCCGACCGCCGCCGCCGAGGGGGCGGTAGTAAATCATGTCTTGGGCACAGCAGCGCGAGAGAATCCGGCGGGCCGTGGAGGCGGGCGTCTCCGCGCGCACCTCGCCGCAGGGCTCGGATGTTCATCGTGAACTGCCGGGGGCAGATGATCGACTGCTACGAGCCGCCCGTCAAGGAGGAGCGGGCCCTGGCGCTGTGCGTCTACCGCGACCACGCCTACTTCTACAAGAGCGCGCGGGCCGTGGCCTGGTGCGACGGCGAGCCGCGGGACACTGCCGAGATCGCGCGGGGAGCGGCGGGAGTCCACCGTGCCGCCCTTCGGCGAGTGGCGGGAGTGGCAGGGCGCCCTCGAGCCCGGGCACTACTGGGCCAGGAACCTGCGCGCCGTGCGCTCCCGCCTGCTCGCGGAGGGCCACCAGCCCAAGGTCGTCATGCGCGGGCTCGTAGAGTGGCGCTACCTGCGGCTGCGCGTGCGCGGGGGGGACTGCGTCGTCCACGAGTATCCCGAGGACGCGGGGGCGCTGGAGGCGTGGATGGCCAAGCTGGGCTTCGCCTACCGCGGGCAGCGGCTCGCCGGCGCGGCCAGCGAGGTCTTCGGAGCGCTGCTGAAGGCGCGGAGGGACCGCGGCGACGTGCAGCGGCTGCTGCAGGAGCAGCGGGGAGCCTGCGCGCTCTGCGCTGCCCCCATCGACGCGGGCAGCTGCGAGGCGGACCACGTGGTGCCGGTGCACCAGTCCTTCTTCGGGCAGCGGCAGCGCCTGCAGGCCCTGTGCCTCGAGTGCCACCGCGCCAAGACGTTCCTGGAGTGCTCCCACGCCACGAGCCTGGAGAGCCGGTTCTGCCGCCACGTCTTCGAGAGCTACGCCTGCTCCCCCCGGCTGCCCCCGCTCGTGTGCGGGCTGGCGAAGTGCAACCCCGAGAAGGTGTGCCAGGGCGTGGACGTGGTGCGCTGCCGCAAGAACGCCCTAGCCAACGCCCCCTTCCCGCTGCCCGTCTTCTGCCCCCTGGACAGCATCCGGCCGGCGGAGGAGGGGCAGCTGGCGGACCTCACCTTCGTGCGGAAGCGGGAGGACAAGCGCGCGGGTTTGTTGGCGCGGCTGCCCTACGTCGGCCCGGGCTGGTACGGGAAGCCCGCAGTGGCCTACATGCTCGACGCGGGCCTTCCGACATGGGCGGACTGCGAGTTGTCCCTGCAGGCGACGGCCCACGTGGCGCCCGACTGCCTGGCGCGGGCGCTGGAGGTCATGGAGGGCGCCTGGCCCGAGGGCGAGGAGCACTTCGCGAAGCTGAGCGTGAACGCGCTCATCGGGCTGTGGGCGCGCTCCAAGGACGTCTTCTACTCCATGCGGACGAGCAGCCACGAGGCGGACGGCTGGGGCTCCCAGTTCCTGCAGGTCTTCTTCGACGCCGCGGGCGCCTGCCACTACGACCACGTCTACGCCACGGAGCTCTTCACGAACCGCTCCATGCGCCCGGCGCACGACTTCGTGATGGGCTGCGAGTACGTGGCGATGGCGAGGATCCACCGCGCGCTGCGGGAGGTGCCGCCCCGCTACCTCGTGGCGCTGAAGACGGACTGCCTCGTGTGCCAGCACCTGCCGAGGAAGTTCCTGCCCGCCGTGGAGGCGCTCACGCGGCGCCGGCACCGGGACGGCACGCCGAAGTACCGCTTCGAGGAGGTGAAGCGGCTGGAGGGCGACTACCGAGAGCCGCGGCTGGAGACGGATCCGCCGCCGCCGCAGGGGCCCTGGAGGCACGTGGAGGACCCCGTGGCACACTGCCTCAACGGGGGCAGCCTGCTGCTCTCGGGCATGCCGGGCACGGGGAAGACGCACCTGGCGCGGCGGATCGTGACGCAGCTCTCGGCGCAGGGCGAGGAGGTGACGCTGATCTCGAAGACGCACTGCAGCGTGCAGAACCTGGGCCTGGGCGCGCAGACGGCGGACCTCTGGGTACGGCGCACCATCCGCGCGGGCCGCTGCGCGCTGGACTGGCTCGTGGTGGAGGAGGTCACGCAGCTCGACGTGGGGCTGTGGGCCGACATCGCGGAGCTCTCCACGAACCGCCGGGTGCGCTTCCTGCTGCTGGGCGACTTCCGGCAGCTGCCCGCCGTGCAGGACGCCTTCGGGGGCGCGCCGGTGCTGCGCTCGCTGAAGGACTCGCAGCTGCTGCACGACCTGGCGGGCGGCTGCGTGCATGAGCTCACGGAGAACCAGCGCAGCGACGAGACGATCTTCCGCTTCCTGCAGTGGCTGCGGGTGGACGAGCCGGAGCAGCCGCCGCTGCGGGAGGCCGTGCAGGCGGCGCGGGAGCTGTTCCCGCGGCGGGGCCACCCCGACACCTGCCTGGTCATCTCCCACGCCCACAGGATGGCCATCAACGAGCGAGAGAACCGGCGGCTCGCGCCGGAGGGTGCGCTGCTGCTGGAGCACCGGGCGCAGGGGCAGGCGGGCACCAACCAGCCGCAGACGATGCGCGTGTGGCCCGGGCTGAGGCTCGTGGGCGCGGGCGGCAGGGTGGCCAAGGGCTGCTTCGCGACGGTGAGCGAGGTGGGGGAGCGGATCTCGCTGGACGACGGGCAGAGCTTCGCGCCCGCGGAGCTGCTGCGGCACACGCGGCTTTGCCACGCGGTCACGTACGCCTCCTGCCAGGGCCTCACGCTGCGGGGGAGGGTGTGGCTCTGCGACGCCGAGAACCCGCACTTCTCGGTGAAGCACCTGTACGTGGGCGCGTCGCGGGCCACGAGCGCGGAGCTCCTGAGCGTGATTTGAGGCCCGCGGGCCATCCCGGTGATTCCCGGGATGGCCCGAGCTGCCAAAAAAACGGGCAGCATTCCCTTCCCCGCAGCCCCCCCTGGGGTGGCGGGTGGTGAGGTTTCGGAGCCGCCCCATTTCCTGGACGGCTCCCAGGGCCTCGCCCTGCGCGAAGCGTCGTCAGGGGGCCGGGCGTTACTGATAACCGCCCGTGGGTAGCCCTACACAGTCGGGCACCCCCCTCGACTTCGCTGGGCCACCCGCGCAGCCCCGGGAGCCTACCGCCGGGTAACCGGTCGGTCACGGGCCCCGGAGCCGCAGCGAGCGTGCCCGTGTACGTGGGTGCTTAATCGGGTGCCAGGTGCCAGACAGGTGCCAGACAGGTGCCAGACAGGTGCCAGACAGGTCGCGGCGTGCAAATGAACACCTCTCTCTGAGGTGGGAGTGCCCAACCCCCGCCACAACACAGCTGAGAGGATCGAGAATCCACGTTTGAGGAAGGTTGCTCTAGGAGCTTTCGACGCCAAACTGCATTAGAGTGCAGTTTCAGGTCTCACAGTAGCATCGCTGCAGCCGATTTTGAGGCCAGAAAATTTGCGAGGGAGGAATCGCAACAGGATGCAGTTCTGAGGCTGCGGAGTTGTGGAGTGTAACAACGTGGAACTCCACAACTCCGCAGCCTCAGAACTGCATCCTGTTGCGATTCCGATTACGAGCAAATTTTCTGGCCTCAAAATCGGCTGCAGCGATGCTACTGTGAGACCTGAAACTGCACTCTAATGCAGTTTGGCGTCGAAAGCTCCTAGAGCAACCTTCCTCAAACGTGGATTCTCGATCCTCTCAGCTGTGTTGTGGCGGGGGTTGGGCACTCCCACCTCAGAGAGAGCATTGAACTTTTCCAAGCTGCAGTTTCCACCGATGTTGACTCTGCACCCTCCTCTTCGGCCTTGCACCAAAACCTGAAGAATCTGAAACCCAAGATGAGGGGCAGCAAAATTGATCGAAAAGGTAGAGAAGCTCCAGTGACCTCCACAGTATTTTGGAATTCCTACAGCAGGTAAAATCGGAGCAAACAAAACAAAAAAGTTTTCAAAATGAAAAAAAACACATTTTTCATGGTTTTTAAAATCAAAAATCCAAATTCTGAAAATATGCAGCTTTCAGAAATTCCGTCTGTAAATTACCGCCCTAAGACCACTGCAGAGAGCTAAACAACAACCCAGCAACGCCTGCAATAACTCAAAAAACCTTTAAAAGTGCTGAAACTTGCATTTTGGAAAATTTGAAAAAATTGCCCCGCTTTCTCTTGTGTAACAAAGACCAGTGTTCCCTATAGTCTCTCTGCATACTTATTCACACGCCAAAAAACAGTTCGAAACATCCACTCAGATAAAGTGTATTTCCAGAATGTGAATAAGTGCGAGCGAAGCGAGCGAAACACCAGAGTAAATTCAACAAATTTGACTGATCAAGTGTTGATTTTTGAGGTTTTTTCAACATTTTCGGATACTTCAGAAATTTTGAAAATTTGTTGAATGGTGCTAAATCCAGGAAGAATTGCAACGTGCAACCAAAAAACGAAAGATAAAGAATTGAGGGCACCCAGCCTGAAAGAAAGCAGAGTTTCTTCTGCTCAATCTTCTGTCAAATTTTAGTGTGCCTTGAATAATGGAATGGAAACAAGGTTGGCAACTCTCAAGTTGTTCTGCCATGAATGAGGAGAGGTCAGTTGATTGTTTTTTTTTTTCAATGTTTGCAAGAACTGCAAAAACATTGGTTTTTCTTTTAAATTTGAAGAAATCAAGAAAACACTGGAAAAAAGCCAGAGTCATAAAACTTCGACAACTTTCTTCAGATTCAGCAGCAGATTCATGCGCAGCAACTCAGTTCAAATTGACTTTGCCCGTCTGAACAGAATTTTTCCTCTTGCTTTTTGCTTAATGTTTTCTTTGTTTTTTGTCGGAATGATCTCTTGGTTCAGTTGCAAGCTTAAGAAAAAGAACACAAACAGATAATTCATCAAGTGTTTTGGTGTGTTTTGGTCAGTGCTGTCAGCCTCCGGCAAGCTGTCGATTTTCCAGAAAGACAGTGAAAAAAATTGCAATCGGAACTTAAGAGATTTGTAAGAATGTGCATTTTGTGGTTTTGGCTGTTTTTCTGTGTGTGCATGCACAAAAGTGTTGTGGATGTGTGTGTGTGTGTGTGTGTGTGTGTTTGCATTTGTGGTTGCAAAGTGGGTTGGTTTGCGGGTGCATGTCTTTGGCTTCAGTGTGCAAGGAAAGTTTCAACCTTGCAAGTGTCTGTGTGTGTTTACCTTGTTTTTTTTCAATTGTGAATGGGTGTGTTGTGGTTTTCGGCGTTTTGACAGTGTCATGGAGTGTGGTGTGTGTCATTATGTGGGTGCAAAGTGGCTTTGGGTGGTGTGCGTTTGCGTGTATGTCGGCTCGGCTGGGTTCTGCTGGCTGTTCAAGTGTGGAAGTGTGTGGGTGTGAAAGGTGTGTGGATTTGGAGATACAAAAAGAGGGCAAGAAATCAACTCCAAAAGGTAGGGAAGCCGAAGTGACCTCCACAGTGCGAGAAAGATCGCACGCGAACAATGCAAGAGTGCTTTGTCTTGAATGCCAGCTAAAAATTTTTTTAGCCAAGAACGCGCGTATCAACGGCGTTTTTTGTTTTCTTGAGTGTTGATGCAAACAGTATCGAATAGAAAAAATCTTGTTTGTCTGTGAGTTGATTTCAATTATTATTGAACTTAAATGGGTTCCAAAAGCAGCTCAATTCTGGGCACCGAAAACGGGCCCTAGATTTTGGATTTCCTGTGTGAACATACAAGGCCACCCAGGTTGGAGCCTCAAATTGGAACCCAAGTTTAGAAGCATTTTTGGGCCCAGTTGCGGCGTTGTTTTCACACACGGGAAGCCAGATCTGGCTTTCACAGCTCCTCGTTGCAAGTAAAACAAATAAGCCTCTCAGTCGGTTCCAGTCTAAGTCTTGTGTCAGTCTTCCCCCAAAATTAGAACAGCAGGCAGCAAGGCGGCAAAGTGTGAACTTGTTTGGAACCGGAACTTTCTCTAGCTGTGGAGGTCACTGGAGCTTCCCTACCTTTTCGATCAATTTTGCTGCCCCTCATCTTGGGTTTCAGATTCTCCAGGTTTTGGTGCAAGGCCTGAAGGCAGAAGAGGAGGGTGCAGAGTCAACGTCGGTGGAAACTGCAGCTTGGAAAAGTTCAATGCTTTGAAACAAGTGTTTTTAAAAGCCTCTGACAGTGCCGTTTGGACAGAAATCAACTGCAGGACGAGACGAGTTCAACCGTGGTGTTGATTCGTTAAGGTTGCGCGCGACGCCCAAGCCAAACCACTCGAAAATTGCAAAGTGTATTACCAGAATGTGAATAAGTGCGAGCGCAGCGAGCGAAACACCAGAGTAAATTCAACAAATTTGACTGATCAAGTGTTGATTTTGAGGGTTTTTTCAACATTTTCGGATACTTCAGAAATTTTGAAAATTTGTTGAATGGTGCTAAATCCAGGAAGAATTGCAACGTGCAACCAAAAAACGAAAGACAAAGAATTGAGGGCACCCAGCCTGAAAGAAAGCAGAGTTTCTTCTGCTCAATCTTCTGTCAACTTTTAGTGTGCCTTGAATAATGGAATGGAAACAAGGTTGGGCAACTCTCAAGTTGTTCTGCCCATGAATGAGGAGAGGTCAGTTGATTGTTTTTTTTTTTCAATGTTTGCAAGAACTGCAAAAACATTGGTTTTTCTTTTAAATTTGAAGAAATCAAGAAAACACTGGAAAAAAGCCAGAGTCATAAAACTTAGCTTAGACAACTTTCTTCAGATTCAGCAGCAGATTCATGCACAGCAACTCAGTTCAAATTGACTTTGCCCGTCTGAACAGAATTTTTCCTCTTGCTTTTTGCTTAATGTTTTCTTTGTTTTTTGTCGGAATGATCTCTTGGTTCAGTTGCAAGCTTAAGAAAAAGAACACAAACAGATAATTCATCAAGTGTTTTGGTGTGTTTTGGTCAGTGCTGTCAGCCCCCGGCAAGCTGTCGATTTTCCAGAAAGACAGTGAAAAAAATTGCAATCGGAACTTAAGAGATTTATAAGAATGTGCATTTTGTGGTTTTGGCTGTTTTTCTGTGTGTGCATGCACAAAAGTGTTGTGGATGTGTGTGTGTGTGTGTGTGTGTGTGTGTTTGCATTTGTGGTTGCAAAGTGGGTTGGTTTGCGGGTGCATGTCTTTGGCTTCAGTGTGCAAGGAAAGTTTCAACCTTGCAAGTGTCTGTGTGTGTTTACCTTGTTTTTTTTTCAATTGTGAATGGGTGTGTTGTGGTTTCGGCGTTTTGACAGTGTCATGGAGTGTGGTGTGTGTCATTATGTGGGTGCAAAGTGGCTTTGGGTGGTGTGCGTTTGCGTGTATGTCGGCTCGGCTGGGTTCTGCTGGCTGTTCAAGTGTGGAAGTGTGTGGGTGTGAAAGGTGTGTGGATTTGGAGATACAAAAAGAGGGCAAGAAATCAACTCCAAAAGGTAGGGAAGCCGAAGTGACCTCCACAGTAATTGTTTTTAAACCAACCATTTCCCAGAATGCATTCTAGATTTTTTGGACGCCGCGTTTCTTGCAATGTTTTTTTTGAAAATTTTCAAAATTTAAAATTTTGATCCAAACCAAGCAGGTTCGCTTAGTTGAAAAAGTTAGTAAGGCTCATTTTGTTTTTGAGATTATTTTGTTAACAATGTTTCTCAAACAAGGAAAAGTTGAAAAAAACATCAATTGATGTTTTTAGAATTGTGCTTAAGCGATTATTTTGTTTCTGAACCAAGGCATGCAAAATCAGTATTCACACTGCAGACTTTGAAATGCTTGAAAACCAGTGTTTTCTGTTTTAAATGTTTTTTATTTTTGAAATTTTGAAAACAATCTGCTTTGACCAAGGCACTTTGAACCAGTGTTTTTCTGGACACTTAGCTCCGTTGCAGGTAATGAGGCTATGTAATCCATGTGGCCCCCTGATTTGATGCCAAGCAGAGAGTGCTTCGCACCCCCAGTTTGCCGTCAGGCAAAAAACCCAAGTTAGAAATAAAAGGGTGCCTGCGTTTGCCACTTTTATTGTGCTTCGTGATGTTTGGAAGACTCCTCCTTTTCACTCCACGC